CTTTATAACACACTGAGTTCAATTAGTGTTGTCTGTATGAGCGTAGGCATAGGGCTACCCACTGCAGAGGAGAACATAGGGAAGGCTCTTCAGAATCTCACTCTAGGTACTGAATTCTTAGACTTTTTACCAAAAGCCCGACCCATGGAAAGAAAAATTGGTGAGGTCTCTTTTGGGTTTTTTTGAGACAGGGTCTTCCTCTAGTCTCAGCTGACGTGGAACTCACTATGTAGACCACACTGACCCTGAACTTACAGAGATCTGCCTGCCTCTGCCTCCTAAGTGCTGGGACTAAAGATGTGTGCCACTACACCTGGCCTTTTTTTTTTTCCAATTTGTCCATTTTTCAACCAGTCAACAGTAGGTTAGTGAAGTTGTGGAAAAGAGTATGGAAGTTACTAAAAAAAAATAAACATAGGCTGACAATATGATCCAGCAATTCCAATGGATACTAAATCATTGTTATTATTATTATTGGTCTTTTTAAAAAAATATTAGTTTATGTGTATGAGTGTATAGCCTGCATGTATGTGAGTGCACCTGTGTCGTGCAATGCTGCAGAAGTCAGAAGAGGGCTTCGGATTCCCCTGGAACTGGAGTTAAGGCCGGTTTGTAGCCGCCATGTGAGTGCTGGGAATCGAACCTGGGTCCTCTGCAAGAGCAGTCAGTGATCTTAACCGCTGAGCTATCTCTCCAGCCCCTATTATTCGTCTTTTTTGAGACGGTCTCCCTGTAGCCCCAGCTGGCCTGGAATTCGCTATGAAGATCAGACTGGCAGAGATGTGCCTGCCTCTGCCTCCTGAGTGCTGGGATTAAAAGTGTGTACCACCACGCCCAGCTAAAAATCACTTTTTAAAAAGGTTAATATTATTTTTAATTGTGTGTGTGTGTGTGCGTGCGCACATGCACCAGTTGTGAGTGCAGGTGCCTGTAGAGGCCAGACATGTTAGATCCCCTTAGAGCTTGAGTTAAGTGATCTTGAGAAGCTTTATGTGGGTGCTGGGAACTGAATTCAGGTCTTCTGCAAGAGCAGTATATGTTCTTAACTACTGAGCCATCTCTCTAGCCATAAGCCATTAGTTTAAGAGAGAGTTCTACTGCCATGTTCAGTGCAGCATATAGACTCAATCTCAGTGCTACTTCATGTGCAAAATGAATAAAGGCATGTTAGATTACATAGATTACAATTTGTCTATAGAAAAGAGAATATCTTGTAATTTAAAGCAATGTGGGTAAACATACAGGATTTTACATTAAGTGAAATAAGCCCAACAGAAAATCAATTACTGAATGATCTCACTCATGAAATTTGGAAAAGTTAGCCTCATAAATGTGCAGAGTTAAATGGTGGTGCCTATTGGCAGGTTTGGATAGTGTTTAAGGTTGCAAAACATTGTTTTAATAGGCATAAGAATGCGAGGAGCACTGCTGTGTAACTTGGGAGTAATTACTATTTTGTCTTCTTGATAAATATTAATAGAATGGAAATAGTGTTATAATCACAAAATGGTAATTATATGAAAGAATTCATGCATTAGATCCACTGTGTGTATTTATATCACAGTGCACATGGTGTATAAATATGATTTAATTTGAGTGAAATAAACTAATATTAAAAAGAATTTTTAAAAGACAGCTATCTGTCTCAGTATATGGATTATTTCCATCCAGGTAGTGCATATGGTCCAAAGAATGATCTACAACAGTCATATTTTGGTTTTGAAGGAATGTGCTCCCTAAGTGTACAGCAAGCCAAAGTAAGGAGTAGCAAGTAGCAGATAGGTAGCTAGCAAAGCATCATCAGATTGGGCACTCAAAATACCCAGCAGAAATCAACTGGGGAAGCCCCTTTAAGGCAGCTAGGTGGCGTTCCCAGTAGAGAGTCCCAGGCAGAGCAGAGTGTCTCCTCGGGTGAGGCTTCCAAGTAAAAGAATAAGGAGCAACAGATAGTGATAACATCATCAAATTGGGTGCTCACAACATTCAGTAGAAACCAAGTGGGAAAGTTGAGGCATCAGGTGAAGTTCCCAGCTGAGCTTCTATTTGTGGCTGAGCTTCCCATGGCCGACCTTCCAGCTTCTCTTTCCCAGTGCAGGTACTTCATATATCATGGGATAAATACTAATAACATGTTAGAAATAGTTTACTTTTTATCTGTTCTCAAGGGCACAGTGTTTTTACACTGGCTGTTTTACTGTTCTCTCCCTGTCAGAGAGTTGAGAAGGGGTGGTGGGCCAGTCCATCTCAAGACTTTGGAGGACACTTTGAGACAAACATTCTTGGGTCTGAAATTGGTAGTGGTTGTGGTGGGGTGACCCCTTTTCCAGAGCCAGCTTCTCAGTGAGCTCAAACTACACATGATAGTCTATCAAAATAATATGCATTGTAACCAGGAAATTCAACAGTAAGTTATGCTGCAAATTGTTGGGGTCTCTCATAGTTTTATTACATTTGTTCTCTGGACATGTGTCTGTATTTTTCTGTTTGAAAAGGTTGGTCCATATCTCTTCTTGTCCTACCCCTATGTGCTGTCATTTTTTGGTAGTGTACCTTTGTTCTGTCTGTTGGTTTACACTCATCTAAAGTATAACTGTTATTTGCCAGGCCTGTCTATCAGGGTAGATAGAAGCCAGTTTTTACGTAGTCCCCAAGCATGTAATTTTACTCTTCTTTCCCTTAGGTAGCAGCAGAGGGTTGGGAGATTGTTTTTCCTAATTTCACAATGTTGTGTTGGGGATTAGAAAGCTATGGTTGACCAAAGTAACAACCCCTTGTTGAGTGACTTTCTTAACTGTTGTACTCATCTGGGGAGCTCTGAGTTGGATGGTCTCATAAATAGATTTGGTCAGCACATTGTTGTTAAGGGCATTTACTTGTAGGGTAATGAGTGCCTTGTTTTTGCTGTTCTGTTGTTATCCCTGTTTGGTATAATGTCAAAGTATTTTCATCCGAGTCTAGTCGTTTGTTTTGGTTTCTTTCAGCTATGTCTTCTCATTATACCCAAGACTTTTCATCAGTGCAGAACAAAAGACATTCATCCCCAAAAGTGATAAGTGGAAGACACAGAAGTTGTAGCACTGACGACTCACATTTAAGGGAAGAATGGGAAAATGTGAGTAAGAGTGATGGTCAAAAAGCTCGTTACAGCAGATGTAGCCAGTGTGTGACAACCAACAGTGGTGAAACTGTCTCTGCCAACAGAGATCAAGAACAGAAAACATCTCAGAAAAAAACTCAGGTTATGGCAGTTACTTTTGAAGAGCCATATGTTTCAATAAGCAAATACCCACATCAGCTCTTGAAACAGGGTCCTCTGAAAGGAAATTTGGAAAGTCTAAAAAGAGGCCTAGTTCATGATGCCATTAATAACTTGAACAACTTAAAATGCAGCACCAAATTGAACTTATATTCAGAAATTTCTGTAGATAGATTTAAAAATGAACACATTTCTAAATGTGATCAATTTGAGAGTTCATTTACAAAAAGTTCATTATTTTGCAGTCAACAAACAGTTCCTCCTTGTGCTAAAATAGACAATTTTAATGAATGTGGGAAGGACTTTTCTTATCTATCATTGTTAAATCAAAATACAGAGACAGATATTTGGAAAGTGGAGTGCATAAATGAAAGTACACAGACTGTTAACAAGAGCTGTACCATAAATAATAAACAGGATATTCATATTGGAGGGAAAACTTACGAATACATTGAAACGCATAAAAACTTTAACCATATTTCAAATCCTGGTAAACATCAGCATACTCCGTTGCCAGAGAACATTTGCGAAGATAATAGATGTAGGAAAGTCTTTTGTCAGGGCTTAAAGAGTATTCATCAGAGTTCCCAAGTCCAAGACAAATATAAATATAAAGAATGTGACCAGACTTTTAGTCAAAGCTCAAACCTTACTCAACACCAGAAAGTTCATGGAGGAGAGAAACCGTACAAATGTAAAGAATGTGGCAAAGCCTTTAACAGTTGTTCATATCTTAATGTACACCAGAGAATTCATACAGGAGAGAAACCTTATGAATGTAAAGAATGCGGCAAAGCCTTTATTGATTATTCAACATTTACTTACCACCAGAGAATTCATACAGGAGAGAAACCTTATGAATGTAAAGAGTGTGGCAAAACTTTTAACAAACGTTCAAACCTCAGACAACATCAGAGGATTCATACTGGAGAGAAACCTTACAAATGTCAAGATTGTGGCCAAGCTTTTAACCAAAGTGCTCATCTCATTAGACACCAGAGAGTTTATGTTGGAGAATGTGGCAAATCCTTTGTCAAGTGTTCTCTTAGGCAGTATTATGTCATTCATACTGGGGGGAAGCCCTACAAATGTAAAGAATGTGGTAAAACCTTTGTTCATATTTCAAATCTTACCCAACACCAAAATATTCATACCGGAGAGAAACCATACAAATGTAAAGACTGTGGCAAAGCCTTTAACAGTAGTTTAAGCCTGAAACGACATCATGTAATTCATACTGGAGAGAAACCCTACAAATGTAAAGCGTGTGACAAAGCCTTTACTCAGATTTCAAAACTTACTGAGCACCAGAGAGTTCATACTGGAGAAAAACCCTATAAGTGTAATGAATGTGGTAAAGCTTTTCACAAATGGCCAGCATTTATGTATCACCATAGAACGCATACTGGAGAGAAACCCTATGAATGTAAGGAATGTGGCAAAGCTTTTGCCAAAGGTTCAGATCTCAGAAGACATCATAGAGTTCATACTGGAGAGAAACCCTACACATGTAAAGAATGCAGCAAAGCCTTTACCACGAATTCAAGTCTTAGAGAGCATCACAGAGTTCATACAGGAGAGAAACCCTACAAATGTAAACAGTGTAGCAAAGCCTTTAGCCGTTGTTCACACCTCACAGTACATCAGAGAGTTCATACTGGAGAGAAACCCTACAAATGTAAAGAATGTGGCAAAGACTTTTCCAGGTGTTCAAGCCTTAGACATCATCACAGAATTCATATTGGGGAGAAGCTCTCAATGTAGAGAATATGGCCAAACTCATGTGTGTGTGTGTGTGTGTGTGTGTGTGTGTGTGTGTGTGTGTGTACCTGCATGTATGTATGTATGTGTGTGTGCCTGTGCTTGCATGTGAGGAGGCCAGAGCTCAGTGTTAGATTTTATTTCCTTCTATTGCTCTCCACCTTTTAAAAATTATATAAAAAATTACATTTATTGCCGGATGCGGAGGTGCATGCCTTTGATCCCAGCACTTGGGAGGCAGAGAATATATACATATATGGGTATGCATGTGACACGGCATGTGTGTGGAAGTTGGAGGACAGTTTGTGGGAGTTGGGAGTTGATTATATCCTTTCATCATGTAGGTTGGGGATTGAACTCAGGACATCAGACTTGGCAGCTTGTGCCATTACCTGCTCTGCCATCTTTAAAAAAGTTGGTCTTTGATTTTTAAAAAATGTGTATGAGTGTTTTGCCTGCATGTATGTATGTAAGTGTACCCATGTCATGCAATGTCTATGGAGGTCAGAAGAGGGCATTGGATCCCCAGGAACTGTAGTTATGATTGGTTGTTTGCTGTCATGTAAGTGCTGAGAATCAAAGTCGGGTCTTTGCAAGACCAGCCAGAGCTCTTAACGGCTGAGCTTCTCTAGCCCCTGCTAAGCCATCTTGCTGACCTCACCTCATTTTTAGTTTATATGTATGAGTATTTTGCCTGCATATGTAAGTGCTCCACATGTGTGCAATGCCTGCCAGAAGAGGGCATTGGATTCCTTGTGACTGGAGTTATAGCCATGTGGGTATTGGGACCTGAATCTAGATTTTCTGCAAGGGCAGCCAGTGCTCTTTAACCACGGAGCCATTTCCTGTCCCCACCTTATTTTTAAATATTATCTTTTATGTGTATGAGTGTATTGGCTGCATGTAGGTAGGTGCACCTATGTCATGCAATGCCTGTGGAAGTCAGAACAGGGTGTCAGATTCCCTTGGAACTGGAGTTATGGACAGCTGTTGCCATGTGGGTGCTGGGAATTGAACCCCGGTCTTTTGCAAGAGCAGTTAGTGCTCTTAACTGTTAAGCCATCTCTCCGGCCCCCCGACTCCTACTTTTTGAGACAAGACTTAACATTTTTAAAATTTATGTGTGTGCGTGTGTGTGTGCGTGGAGCTAGGAGGACAACTTGTGTGAGTTGGTTGTTTTTCCTTCTACCATGTAGGTCCTGGGGATTGAATTCAGGTTGTCAGATGTGGTGGCAAGTGCCCTTTCCCTGAGCCATCTTACCAGCCCTGAGCAGGCATAATTTCTTATTGAACCTGGAGCTCACTGATTGACTAGACTGGCTGACCAGGAAGACCCCAGAATCTTTCATTCTCTGCCTTCCAGTGCTGGGATTACAGAGTGTGCAACCATGCCCAGCTTTTTATGTGGGTGATAGGGATCGAAACTCAGGTCCTTATATTAGCATAAGAAGCATTTTCCTCACTGAACCAGCCTTTTGGCAAAATTTTTATTCAACTATCAAACATTTTTTTCAATGGGTAAGTCATGCTGTATGCAAACATACATGTAACGAATGTGGGAAGATCTTTGTCAAAGTATATACCTCTTCAGAGAAAAGCAAGTACACTGAAGAATTCCTTTTTAATAAATATAATTGCATTTTTATTTGTGTATGTGTGCTTGGGGAAGTCAATTTCTTTCCATCATGTGGGTCCCAGGAATCAAACTCGGGCCATCAGGCTTGGTGAAAGGTATCTTTATCCTCTGAACCATCTCTCACAAATGTATAGCATAGTAACGCCTGCATTCAAACTTGGGGGTCTTAGTGTGAGTTACTGGAGAGAAATCCAGTACATACAATGTGTTGCAGTCTGACTTGCTTAGAATTTACATCATTGGTGGAAAAAGGGAATCATGTATAATGAGAGTAATGCGAATAACTCACACCTGAAAGTATACATTTCCTGTAAATCTAAAATTATTCTCAGAAACAAAACTCATATCAAGGTATCTTGTACGATTAATTATTGGGAGATTTTAGTCTATTTTTTCCAGAGGGTTATGAGTTAGGGTCAGGGTGAGGATTTTAGGATTAGAATTTTTAGGATTATGGGTTGGGTTAGGGTTGCTAGGGGTTGGGGTTAGGGTCAGGGTCAGGGGTCAAGGGTTGTGTTAGGGTTAGGGGTTAGGATTAGGGTTGTTAGGGGTTGGGGTTAGGGTAAGGGTTAATGTTTTGGTTTAGGGTTAGGGTTACTGTCAGGTTTAGGGTTAAGGTTCAGGATAGGGGTGGGTTGGGTTAGAGATAGGGTTAACAGGGTTAGGGTTTGGATAAGGCTTAGGGTGAGGTTTAGGGATAGGGAGGGTTAACGTTAGGTTAAGGGATAGGGTTAGGATTAGGTTAGGGTAAGGGTTAGGGATAGGGTTGGGGTTAGGGATAGGTTTAGGGTTAGGATTATGGATAGGAATAGGGTTGGGGTTAGGGATAGGTTTAGGAATAGGGTTGGGGTTAGGGATAGAGTTAGGAATAGGGTTGGGGTTAGGGATAGGTTTAGGGTTCGAGATAGGGTTAGGGTTAAGTTTAGGGTTTGGGATAGGGTTAGTATTTGTGTTAGGGTTACATTTAGGGTTAGGCAAAGTGTTAAGGTTAGGGGTAGGTGTAGGGATAGCATTAGGTTTGGCATTAGGGATAGGGTTAGGGTTGGGTTAGGGATAAGGTAAGTTTTAGGATTAGGTATAGGGTAGGGTTAGGGATAAGGTTAGGTTAAGGGTCAGGGTTAGGGATAGTTTAGGGTTAGGGTTAAGATACATTAGGGTTAGAGGGTTGGATTAGGATTAAGGTTAGGTTTAGGGTTAAGGGATAGGGTTCTGGATATGTTTAGGGTTAGAGTTAGGTTTAGGGATAGTGTTAGTGTTAGGTAGGGGTAAGGTTAGGGTTAAGATTCAGGTTACGGATGGGGTTAGGGTTAGGATTACCGTTAGGGCTAGAGTTTGGGATAGGGATAGGATGTTAGGGTTGGATATAGGGTTAGGGTTAGGGTTTCGTTTAGGGTTAGGGTTAGAGCCTCCTTCTGCCTCCTAAGTGCTGAGACTATAAGTATACAGGTGCCACTACAGTACGGACTAAGTTTTTAAAAAGAACACCATAGAGGTGAAGTTCCCTTCCCATCATATCCTATGGAGGGGAAAGACCTGTGACAAGCCCACCACCAATGAATGGTGAGGCTTACCTTAACCACACAGTTAGGGATATACCTATTGGGTTTCTTCACCAAAAAGCAACAGTGCAGGGGACAGAACCAGGGCTCTGTGCTTGCAATATAAGTGCCCTGCCACCAAATTACACCCTCATCCTGAAATCCATATTTTAAAAACATTTTTAAAGATTTATTTTTAATGTGTGTGTGGGAGGGGTGCCCACAAAGGCCACAAGAAGGCATCCAATCACCCCAGGAACTAGAGTTATAAGCAATTAAGCTATCTCTCCAGTTTCTATTTTTAATTACCTTTCAAAAATCCTAAGCTATGCCTTTAATCCTAACACTTTGGAGGTGGGGGCAGAAAGATCAGGAGTTCAAGGCTATCCTTGGTTGCATGGAGAGTTCAAGGTCAGCCTGGGCTACCTGAGCCCCAGTTTCAGAAGGAAAGAGAGGTAGGGAGGAGAGAGGAAGGAAGAAAGAAAAAAAAGGAAAAAACTAAATAACTTCCTTGTGAATCATCCTAGGGGTATTTTATGCACAGACAGGTAATTATATATGTTTATAATGCCCCACCTTTCTTACACAGTGCCAGCAGCCTGGCCATACCGCTTTGTACACAACTGCAGAGTTTCTTGGTCTGGTGAGACCCTGTAGACAACCCAATTTTATTTTGTTAAAAAATATTTTTATTTTGTGTGTATGTGTGTATTGCCTGCATGTATGTAAATGCACCTGTTTCAGTGCGATGACCATGGAGGACAGAAGAGGCTGTCAGATCCCCTGGAACTGGCGTTGTTAGCTGCCATGTGGGTGTTGGGATTCGAACCTGGGTCTTTTGTAAGAGCAGACAGTGTTCTTAACCTCTGAGCCATCTCTCCAGCCCCGAGGATCCAATTTTACCTCCAGGCGGGATGGGCAATAAAATTGGGGGAACCTACATTATGATTTCACTTGGGAACAGGTTGACTTTTAAGATAAAAATGTGTAGAAGAGGGCTTGTGAGCTAATGATTTCTTCCATACAAAGGTATATTAAAGGTGGATCTGTGACCATACTTTAGGATCCAGAAGGGAGCCACAGGTTAATAGCAAGATCTTGTCACTTTTTCCTTCTAAGGGAGGGAAAGGTTATTTGGACTTCTAGAAACAATCTCCTTGGATTGACAAGTCCGCAGCTAATTGCTTTGTGGAAATGAGTAGAGCAAACACCCCACCCAGGGCAGGAACAGGATATAGATTCTTCAGACCTGAAATGTCAGGCTCCAGGTCATACACTGAGGGTGCCTCGCACTCCAGTACTACTCACAGCCTGCAGGATGAAGCCTTTCCCTTAGCCTGCAACTGCACATATATCCATCCTTCCCGCTCCTTCTAGGTTATTGTTCCCCCGCCCTTGGGCCTTCCGACTACAGTCCCTGCTGCTTGTTGCCCTCCCGTGCTCCACACCGCCAGGATGCCGTGACCAAGGACTTGGCGGAGGAAGCGCCGTGGAAGACGATTCAGCAGAACACGTCCAACGCGCTGGTGCAACGAGCAGCTCAAGTGCATGAACAAAAGCATCGGGAACCTGCAGATTGACCTGAGCTACAGGCTGCGGCTCATTGCTCTGCTGGAGGTGCTCAGCCAGAAGCGCATGTACGGTAAGTACCACCAGCGGCCCACCTTCCAACAGATGCAGTTGGAGAACATGTCGGTGGTGCTCAGAGTTCCTGGACCACGAGAGCATCAAGCTGCTGTCCATCGGTGAGTGGTGTGTCCTGGCCCAGGCGCCTGCGTGAGTTCGATCCTGCGCTTGTAGAAATCTGGGGTCCCGGCATCACGCCCCACTGCGCCTAACCTCTCTGGGCTGGGCGTGGGCTCCGAGGCGATGGGGAGGCGTCCCTGGGATAGGGACCTGGCAATCTGGGCCCTTCCCTGGGTGCTGTCTGCAGGCTAGGACCTGGTGTGATTGCTCCCCACCGGGCCCTGGCAATACGCCTCAGATGCCGGTGGGTTAAGCGCTAGGGTTCCCTAATCGCAGCTGTGGACGTGGGGATGTGGCTTTTCAAACTGACTGCAGCGCCCCTGGGATTGCTGGGGGAATATTCTGACCCGATGGCAGAGCCTTGTAGTCAAATAGCAAACCAAAACTGGCCAGGTGCGCCCAGACGAGTGCGATTTGCCTGTGTCTAATGGGCTTTGGCTCTGAGTCTGGGTGGGGAGACCCTGAGAGCGACCTTTCTTTGGTTTGGGATCTCTGCCTAGGTGACCTAGAGAATCTGGGACCCTCCCTGCTTCATCCCCGGAGTGGGTGTGGGCCCAGAGGTTGAAAGGGGAATCGCGGAAGTGTGTCCTCGTTTTCTGTTCCCGGGCTCTGTGCTGACAGGTCTCCGCAGGCTGAGATAATTTAATGGTAATAGTAATTAATCGCTTATAGAAGAGGGTTCAACTAGCGCAGGCTGTGTGGTCACAGCCTTCTAAGTTATCCCAGTACTTACTGTCCTGTGGGCTGAGGTGTCCTTAGACCCATTTTACAGAGGAGGGGGGCGTCTAGGAGGTTAATTGGCTTGCCCAAAGTCAGCCAAGTACAGTCCAGCACAGAACTGAAGGAAGTAGGTGACTACTTTTGTTTTCCTCTCCCCTGCCCCACCCTCCTCGTCTTGAGAGGGGATTGGACTCTCTGTTCTTTCCTGTTGATTTGGGGAGCGAGGATAAAGAGGTTTCCCTTAAGGCCTGGAGTAGTTGGGTTTCTAAAAGCATAGCAGGGCCTTCTACGACGTTGGTTATGACCATAGTGGAGTAGGGGTTTGTTGTGTGTGTGTCACAAGCACACTTTGCAGGTATGTGGTGTTTGTATGCAGAGTTTGTGTGTAAACGGTAGCTGTGCAGAACATATAAGTATGCAAAGAATGTGTCTGCACTTACAATGTGTGTACATGGGATTAGTCTCTCAAGGTCCAGATTTCTTCCTGAGGAAACCAGGTCATTACAGTGACTCCAGTGACAGAAAGAAC